CATGATATCTTCCAGGGAATTTCATAGGAAAAGCACTGGAGAAAAATAAAGTCATAAGAGATTCCATATATTTGTCTCTATTTCAAGGAGCATCTGTCTAAGATGAAATTGACCAGAAGTACAGAATGGAATAGAACAAAACAGAATTCTTTATTGACCAAGTGTGATTGGACACACAAGGAATTTATCTTTGGTGCCTATGCTCTTAGTGTACATTAGGAAAATAAAATACTTTCGTCAAGAATAAAAAGATACAACTCTTAGTGACAGTCAAGGGTTTAAGATAACAGGGTTACAATCACAACCATTCTCTGAGATGGTTGTGAACATCACTACTAAAAGGTCAAGAAAAGCAAACCTGATTCGGGCTCCTCTTTTAGACTGACCAAAACGGGTTTAGTCCAACCTGAAGCCAGTTTTAAAATATTCAAGATAATCTGCCTCTCAACTGCTTCCTCTAAATGAGAAGCTGCTCTCTCGCTCTCAACTGCCATGGAAAGTTAGAGACAGCAAGCCTATAATTTCACCTCTCAGAGGGGACTCCAATAATTATCTCCTTTAAGAAAGGAGGCATCTTGCAGTTTCAATGTTAACAAAAGCAGATCTGATAATCTCGTAATTTAAAGATACAAACCAGGTTGGAAAGAAGAGAGATTGTTGGGTAAATGCCATTCAACCGCAGAATCAGTTATTTGCTTTGGTTCTTGCTAAAAATCAGGAGGGGTAGGTTAGGTGGTCATTTGCTGGAAATATTCTGATTTTAGATTTCCTACTTGTGGTATTTTTATTTACAGTCCATAAACTAGTTAGATATAATGCATACAAATGCAGCTGAAACAGCCTTAAATTAAAACTATCTAGAATCAAAAATAAAATAGTAGCATCAACAGAGAAGAAAAGGAAGTTACATTAACCCCATGGCTAAGAGTATAAAGCATTAATCTGAGCTGTACGAGCCTTCACCTCTGACCCCACCTCCATTACAGATGTAATTTATTTATTATTACCTTGAATCTGCAGCAGTATTTTAATTAGCAATCTGAACACATTTAATATTTTAAAATAGGTCTCCTGTGCCTCCCAGGGTCATCTTGTAACCTGCCAAGGAAGCTTTAGCTATGGAGTGTTTAACAGTGGCTCAACAGTTTAACAGGAGGAATTATTATCATTATTAATTAACTTCATAATGGCCACCCACTCCAACAGAAACTGCATGCATCTACACCTTATATTTGTTGATTTCCTAATAGAGCAGGCATTGAGTTGTCTATCACTGTATATGTAAGCAGATGTATATTTCAGATATATATATATAACATATTTTTCGGAGTATAAGATGCACCTTTCCCCCACTAAAAGAGTGTGGAAACGTTGGTGCGTCTTATACATCGAATACGGCTATTTTTGGCTTCCTGAAGACCCGCCTGTGCATCCCAGTTTTGTGAAAAACAGGCTGTTTTTCACCAAAGTGGGGACGTTTTTGCCTTCCCCCACCCCTCAGAAGCATTCTGCAGGCTTCAGCAGGGCTGGGGGAAGGGAAAAATGCCCATGTTTTGGTGAAATACAGGCGAAAAATGGGCCATTTTTGCCTTCCCCCAGCCCCCAGAAGCACTCTGCAGGCTTCAGCAAGGCTGGGGGAAGGGGAAAATGCCACTGTTTTGGTGGAAAACGGGGACATTTTTGCCTTCCCTGAGCCCCACTGAAGCCTGCAGAGTGCTCCTGGGGGCTGGGGAGGACAAAAACTTTTTTTCCTGACTTACCTCTTTGAAATCTTGGTGTGTCTTATACACCGGTGCATCTTATAGTCCGAAAAATACGGTATATATCTATGCTATGTTGCTCATCAAAATGAATGGTCGTCTTCTGGGCTTCTTGTTTTCATCTCCCAGTGTAAACTAAAGCTCTGATATCTAAGTACTAAACTAGGCCAACCCTTGTTGGCTTTCTAGGTCAGCCTGAGGTTGCTGAGCCATTGATTGAGATACAAGCATCACCATGTGTTTGGTACTCATATAACATTTCTTAATAAACGAATAAATAAAAGTCTTGGCTAGCCGGTGTTTGGTACCTTTAAATCATAACTGACAACATTTTTGCTCCCATGATCATATGTCTTTGAGTTCATCTCATTCCCAACCCATGAGTGAGATCATCTTCAGCCATCCTTAGCGTTAGTGAGACTAGTCTTTTCCCTTTTAAGCCCAGATGGCATCAGAGTAGTATTTATTACTCATTCCAGAATATACTGCTGTTCTTCCAGTCATTGTTTAACCTAATTTTGCTGCTGTCCTCCTAAAAAGCCAGATATTGTTGTGCTGATACTCTATTAGAAATGCATAATATCACATGGCAGTCCTGGAAATGCTTTAATTCTTTTGGCATTCCTAATTTAGAAAAAAACAGAACGATGGAGATAAGTCTGTTCTTCCTTGCCCTGGGCCTCCCAATCCATCGACACACACATGCACGCACGCGCGCGCACACACACACACACACACACACAAATGTATAAAGAAAATAGGAAAGGGACCCTAAATGACTCAGCTGCCTTTGTGGTTTTGAATTGAATAGAGTACTTTATTTGCCCAAGTATGATTAGACACAGAAGGAATTAGTGTCTGATGCAGAACCTCCAGTATGCCTGCAAAGC